GAACAAGGGACCAATGGAGGTAGATTTCATGAGGAACATGAAATATGTCCTTCTTTCTTTGGCCTGAGCCACTGAGAGCCTTTTCATGCCATCTGAATGGGATGTGGGAGGAAGCAGGGGAGGAGGAAAAAGACTCCAGGCTGATTTTTCTTTTAGGATCTGACTCCCGTTCCTGTTGTCTCGGGGGAGAGTGGTTTACACCACCAGTCAACGACCTTTTCTCAAATCCAAAGTAAATATTTTCTCAGCAGACTAACCATTGTGAAAGAAACAGTAGAAGGCAGGGAGACGGCAGGTAGCTTTAGATATCTTGGGTCCGGTACCGCGAGCTAGGGTGGATAACAGTGAAGCCAGCAGGAAGAGACCTCTCTACTTTTCAGAGAGGCAACTGTGCAGTCTGCGCAGAGGTGGGGAGAGTGGAGTCTGGCTCACAAAGTGAGGAACAAGGAAAGAAAAGTCCAGGTCTTCAGTAGGTGTGAGCTCATCTAGCTCACATGTGAAGGAAGGAGAGAATCCTCGCGTTTGCTTTGTCTTACATCTGAGGTACCAGCTAAAGCCTTTTTTATGTGTGTAGGCAAGAATCACAATGGTCAAATGTAGTTACTGGTAAGAGAAAAAAACCCCAACCCCAAACCAGCACATAGTAAGGCATAAACAGCTGAATTCTCAATTAATCAGCTGAACACATGGAAGAAAAATGTTTGGGCTTGAATGAAGTATTGAATTCCATTTGGGTGGGATGGCGTTCAGTAATGCCACACTGCAGTGTTGTGTTTTGGAAACAAACCAGAGTAGTTTAATCCTTTCTTGACATTGAAGCTATTCTGTAATTTGCAATTTGAAAGTGCAGCTTGGGGGAGCTGATTGCATTTCTCAGTGCCTGTTCCTTGTGCTACACACAACCCTGTTTGGGTTTTTTGTGTTCACACTGTGAGAGCTAGTGGGAAGGTCTGCCTTTTGGAGGCAAGCAGACTGATTGATTTCACAAAACTGAATGTGAGCAGAACTATCTTCATGTTCAGTGCCCTCCAGACACCGAGGCCCTGAGGAATACAGTGATTGGAGGGAGCTGTTGGGTCTCGTCACTGTTACAGACATGGGCTCCTGGCTAAGAGAGATGGGGGGTGATTGTGTGAAAACAAGAGCCCACCTAAACAGCGATGATTGTGTTGTATTGCATGTATAGTCTGGCTTGCAGGAAGAAGGAAAATTTCCTCCTTTTTTGATTTTTCGATAGTATTAGAAATTGCTATAGCTCAACCCCTGGATGCCCATTCCCATTTTTGAAATCATAGTGGTATCAAGTCTTCTTCTAAGCAGTTTTGAAGTAGATTCTCTAAGAGTGTTCTTGCCCTTCATATGGGTAGTTTCGTCTGCTTTAGAGCTCTGCACCATCTCAAAACTAGTTTATCTTGAAGCAGGAAGGATTCTTGCTACAGTCCCTCAAGGCCTCATTGTGCTTGTCCCTGTACAGTCACAGTGCTTAGCTGGAGGCTTTCACTTTTTGGAAAGAGTAGTCAAAGGAGCGACTTGCCCGAGGGTACGGAGGTGCTTGGGGAGGCAGGGTGAGAGCAGACCATAGCTCTCCTGTTGCTGGAGCCAAAGGCTCTGCCATTGGCCAGCTTTCTCCCTGCTTCCTCCTGGAGCCTAAGCCTGACCTAGTGCTTGTGTTGTTGATGCCACTGTGATTTCTACTTACAGCCCGGGAATAACCAAGTTTGTTTTTCCTTTAGCAGTCATTTAGCTTCTGCAACGGAGAACAGATAGAAACAAGTTGTGGCTTGACTTTTTCTATTTATAACTCTAAGCACCTAAAGTGCACGTGGCTGTAATGCTGTATCAGGTACAGCATCATTTCAGCTTTGAGGGATAGGGACTTCACCTTCCTGTTATCGAATGACACTGTAAATGAGCGCAGTGCTGCAAGCAGATTCTCTACTGGAGAATCCTTTTTTCTTTTGGCAAGTGAGTGAAGCTTAATGTTACCTTCAATATCATACTGAAGCATGTGTAGTTTTTAAAAAATAGGAGCTACTGTCCAGTCCATTCTGTTCCTTCCTGTGTAGCAAACCAATCTCTTGTATCTGTGGCCGGAAAAGCAGCTGTGAATGACTTCACCAGATACAGAGCAATGGCAAATCCAGCTCATGATGTATGCTAGCAATAGGAATAGCTTCCACCTTTCTCCTGCTCCTTGTCTCTCCTGAAAAGAGTAATGGAAAGTTAAAAGAATTATTTAACACATTATAGATATTTAAAGAAACACTTCTTCCTGTAAAGTGTATGCATGGTTATCGACATCACAAGGAAGAGCATTTTGTCTTTCACTCCTGAATGATGGGAACTCATAACGCAGTAAATTACACCAATATAAAAGTTAATGTACTCAGCTTTAACACGGATATTTTACTGTTATTATCACTATCAAAAGTGACATCCATCACAGTGACATGCACCCAAAAAGGAAAAAAAATCCCTGGTGTAGTTGTGTCTAATAACCCCAATTACAGAGCTCTTCTGATGCCTTTTTTATAACAGTTTTGCAGCTCTGTATTATCTCCTATTAATATGATTTCTCTCCTATCCATAAATTTCTCAAGATTGCCTCTTCCCCTCCACTTACCATAATCGCCATTTATTATCCACATGCTTCCCATAAAACAAGGCTATAGGTGACACAGAGAGATTGATGCTGACCTAGATACAGGCCCGCCCCCAGCTTTCTTCTTTCCCCTCAGCAATAATGTGCTCGTTACAGTGTTGAGGAGGCTTTGTTAAAAGGTTCAGCTTCTCCTAGCAATTGGTGCCAAAAATAGTCTCATTAGCTGAAGCTTTGCTTGATCAGCAAAGGAGCTCTTGGGGAAGAGGTACTGGGATGGACTCAAGATGTAAATAAACAAGAGGAAACTCCATCCTGCTGCCCTGTCAGCTCCAGGGCTAACTTGGACCTGCAAGGCAACACCCCAGCAATGCTTTCTGTCTGCAGCTCTCTGCAAAAGGAAGCTTCTCCATCCTCGCTGGCTAGAGTAACTGTGTACCTGACGATGATTTTGCTCACATAGTTTTGGGGTTTTATTTTAATGACTGAGCCTCTTCCATCGGTGGCTGAATACTCTGCAGGCCTTGCAAGGCTGCAGCACTTATAAGTGCTCCTGGGGGCTCAAGGACTAAAAACTAACCCTCCCTCAGAGGGGACAGGTATGGATCAGTCCCTGGCTCACTGAAGCC